AAGGGGGCTTCTTGTGAACCGGTACTCTGTGGGCGATTGGTGCGACCATTTCATGGGCTTTTAACATAGCATCGTATTGATGAGAGCTGAAAGCGGCATTGTTAGGACCTGCTAATTCAGGGATAGTGGGGTTTGAATCCACTACCGGGTATGTTTCTGAAACGGATAGTGCTGGACAACCGGGCGTCTCTTGAGAGTCTGCTGTTTCGTTTGAGTTGCGGCTGGTCGAGGATTCATGGAGGCTGTGATCATTTGCCAGCTCTGTGTGCAATTCAGAGATTAATACATCCACTTCCGACGCATATGCGAAGCATTGATGATCCAGAAACTGTGAGCGTAGTTTGACCATGAACTCCAAATGTCGGTCAAATAGCAACTGTAAGCGGTCAGAAGGGAGCGTCATTTTTCACTTTTGTCCCCGTCGCCAATTGTTATAATGCGAAATATAGCGTATTGCGATAGGACTACGCGAAATTCTACCGATTGACCAAATTCAGATATCCTAGTTCGACCCCAGTACTGTTTCCCAACTCCAATAAATCAGAACACAGCCGTTAAATGAGAATTGTTTATGGGGTCAGCAGCAGAACAACAATGGTTTACAGATAAGGCATATTTATGCAGTTACGATGACTATTAACAGTAACCAATGGAAAAGAAGGACACGTAAAGGTTATAATTAGGACGACTCAAAATTGACCAATAGGGAAACGACACATGAAAGTCATAGTTAGGACACTGTAAATAATGGCCAATAGGAAATAACATGCGAATTATGCGAAGAGTCTGGAAACATACCATTTTACATTCGAGATAATTTTTGGGATATTCTTGTGAATATCCTAACACTTTGTGAAACTTCGTCGTTCTTTTCCAGCCGTCCTGGAAAAGAGGAAAAATAAACCGTGTGAGTGCATGTCGGAAATACACTCGTACTTGCGTAGGGACACAAGATGAGCGTGAAAAATATGAATAAACTAATACACTTACAAACAGCGTAAAAGCGATCGAAAAAAAATATAAATACGCTCAAAAAATAAAAATGTTTTGTTTTTTTTGTTTTTTTATATAAATAAAAAAAGCATATAAAAAAATTTTTTAGAATAAACAATGAAAGGGTATTTCAAGATAAAACCTATGTCCTACGTGCAATATTCGTTAAGGTGTTCTGGAAATCTTATTCGTCTTCCAGAACGCGTTGTTTTAGGCTTCTCTATCGACGTTGACGAAGTATCGAGTTGTGTGTCGGATGTCGTGTGGGGTACTACGAGTGTAGGAGCCGTGTCGTACGATTTAACCGAAGGAAATTCGACGTAGCTAGGGTTTACTTCTAAGTACGCTGCTTATAAGCGATCGATATTGATGCTATCGCTCGTGCCGTTTTTATCGACTATATAATACTTAGGTTCACGTTGATTGAGGTCGAGTGTGAGCAGGTTTAACTGAACGCATAGCGTTTGAAAGTCTACTCGTGTAAGAGTTTAGATCCATGTTCAATGAAGAAGCTGAAGGATCCACGAATTCTCCTGGGAGTCGGAGTGTCGTTCCGTAAACGAGTTGAGATGCCGTGTATCCAATATCAGCTTTCACTGCATTGCGGATACCTAGCAAGACGAGTGGAAGAGCGTCTGTCTACTGCGAAACATTTGAAACTGATAATGAGGCTTTTAGTTGTCGATGAAAACGTTCTACCAACCCGTTTGCTTGTGGGTGGTAGGCGGTCGTTCGGAAGCGTGTGATTCCTAATAGTGAGGTCAGACAACGGAAAAGTCCAGATTCTAACTGGCGTCCGTGTTCTGTAGTGATGGTTGAAGGGCAGCCGAAATTTGCTACCCATCGTTCGACGAAAGCGCGGGCCACAGTTTCAGCAGTAATGTCCTTAATCGGTACTGCTTCTGGCCATCGAGTAAAACGGTCTACGCATGTTATGAGATATGAGTATCCGTTTGAGTCGGGTAATGGTCCTACCAAATCTAGATGGACGTGGTCGAAACGAGCATCAAGGGTTTTGAAAGAGCCTAAAGGACATTTGTTGTGTCTTATGACTTTAGATTTCTGACAGCTTACACAGGAGCGTGCCCACTCCCTCACGTCTTTATTCATGCCAGGCCAAAAAAAGCGTTCGGCTATAAGTTTGAATGTTGCACGATCACCTGGATGAGAAAGATTGTGCAACGTATTGAAGACGTTGCGTCAGTTTCAGTTTGGAAAGGACTGGAGGCTTGATGGCCTGCGTTAGTCCTGGCAATGATGGTCTCTCAGTTGATACAACTTTCTTTTGAAGCAGTCGACGGATGGACCCTTAACCACGTGCTGAGGTAATGAATTACACTCGTTGATTATTCCATGGGAAAGTCGGTAGTCAGCTGACAAGTAATTCGTTCTGGGCTTGTGAACGTTTTTGGTTTGTCCTCGTAGATTTTCTGTGTTGGAAGACAAGAAAAATGAGGGCATATCAGGTGCAAATTTGTCGTTAAGCAATTTGAAAACTGTTATCAAGTCGCCTCTGATTCTTCTATATGACAGCGTGAATAGGTTTAGCTTGGTCAGTCTAGTACCATATGGGAGCTTCGCTATTCCGGGAATCAGCCTAGTTGCTGTTCTCTGAACCCTTTCCAAGAGTTCACTGTCTTTTTTTAAGCAGGGACTAGCTGCTTGTATGCACTACTCAAGTTTAAGGCATACGAACACTGTATACAAAGTCAGAAACGTTTTAGCGTCAAGATGCCTAAAAGCCCTGCGTGTGGACCATAAAGTCCTAAAACCTTCGCGGCTATTGCACGGCAGTGTGCAGTAGTCTTTAAGTCTTGACTAACGATGACGCCTAAGTCATTGTGTGCCTGCAGGCACATTGTTCATGAACAATAGGTAACTCAGTGTTATTCATCGTGTATGTCGATAATGTTTTGGTATTATTGGACGATCCCTACCAGTAGATGTGTCACAAAGTAAGGTTTCCTTACCTGTTCCCATCTGCTTAATACTTAGTTTAAGAGTTGTCGAGGATAACTCATGCTGAAGATCAATGTCTTCTTTTTGAAGCTGTGCGAGTTTAAGAAGGTCGATTCCTTGGAAACTGTTCAAGGAACTTATTCGAGACAAGGCGTCTGCGACTAAATTGTTAGCTCCAGAAATGTTTTGTATGTCTGAAGTAAACTGCGAAATATAGTCGAGTTGTCGAGACTCACGAGGTGAGTAATTGTCTGAAGATGAACTTAAAGAGAAGGTAAGAAGTTTGTGATCGGTAAAAAGCGTGAATTCTCTTCCTTCGATGGAATGTTGGAAATGCCGTACAGCACAATACATATCTAGGTGTTCCCTACCGAACGTGCTGTACCTAGATTCTGCGTCTAACAACCGTCTGGAGACAAATCCTAAAGGTTGCCACAAGTTGTTAACCCATTGTTGTAAGACTCCTCCGGTTGCTGAGTCGGATGCGTCTACGGTGATACTAATGGGCGCTTGAGTGTCCTGATGAGCAAGCAGGGTTGCTTTAGCGATGTGTTCCTTAACTGTGGAGAATGCTTTACGGGCTGTGTCGTCTAAACCAATTGATTTTGCATTTCCACGAAGATGATCGGTTAACGGTTTCATAGGGGATGCGCATTTGGGTATGAACTGTCTATAGAAACTTACAAGTCCGTTAAAAGTTCGCAACTGCTTGATCGTGGTCGGTTCTGGGTAATCCAGAATGGCCGCCACTTTGCTCCTAAGTGGTCGGATGCCTTGGGCATCAATAGTGTGTCCTAAGAAGTCTAAGGAGTTTATTCCGATTTGGCATTTCTGAATGTTTACAGTAATGCCATGCCTTTGGAGTAGATCGAAAACAATGTCCAGATGCTTGAGATGCGATTCTCTGTCCGGACTTGCTATTAGACAGTCATCAACATACGCATGTACGAAGTTGAGATCTCGAAAGACGTCGTCTATAAACCTTTGGAAGGTTTGAGCCGCGTTTCTTAAACCAAAAGGCATTCGCAAGAATTCGAAAAAAGACCGAAGGGAGTGATGATTGCGGTTTTAGGAGTGTCGTCAGGTGCCATCGGGATTTGGTTATAAGCTTTAACCAAGTCGATTTTCGAAAAGACAGTTGTACCTTTTAAGGTAGCTGTCAAATCGTGAATATGAGGCAGCGGGTAACGATCGGGAATGGTTTTAGCATTCAGACGCCGATAATCACCAGTTGACCGCCAATCATTGCTGTCATTTTTAGAGACCATGTGCAATGGGGATGACCATGGACTATTCGGTGGTCGAATTATACCTAAGTCTATCATATGCTCGAATTCGTTTTTAGCTAACCTAAGCTTTTCGGCAATTTCGATTGCGATTGGTATATCCCGGGGTATTTGTTGGGTACTGATTGGCACAAGGGGTCTATGGTGTGCTTAATAGTGACTGGGGATAACCTGCAACCAGAACAAGGAGTTACGCAGACAGATAACTTAGTGTTTCAGTCTATTAACCCTCGTGAGCGTGTGTCGATGAGTAGATTGTGGTGTTGTAACAGGTCTATACCAATGATTGGCATAGAGACATCTGCAACCACGAAAATTCAGTGTATGGGTTTACGTAAACCCACGTAAAGGTAAACGTACCGTTTACCGTAAGTAGCGATCGGCTTTCCGTTTGCCGCCTGTAAACTTAAAACAGACTAGCGAAGTCTGACACGCGAAATTTGAAAGTGGTAACATTTTTTCACGTGGTTTAGAATTTCTTAGACTTGTTCTTTTGTAGGCTGTATTGTCCTTAGATAATTATCCTGTCGCGTTTATCGCCCACACTTTACTCTAGGTTAATAAATTTTAACCGACACTTGCCCAGTTAATAGAGATTTCACTGGTCAGTACTTCCCTATGTTATAACTGAGCACTTTTTATCTGTAATACGTTATATACTAATAGTCCCTGATCCTAGTATTAACCCGGTTAATACTTAGAATTAATTATATTCTCATATATATCTGTTATACAGGTTTTTAACTCATACAGCTTCAAAATATGTCAAATAACTTGGGTAAAAGAGAGATTTCACCAGCTTTCAAGCCTACTAAAAGGTCAAAGTCCGTAACTCCTAAGACTGATGACTCAGTACCTGAAAATGATAAGCATTTTTCCTTTGAACCCCATTCTACCTACCCACAAGTGTCACTAACACTACCTGACTCTCCAAGTAACAACCCCTCTATTTCTTCGTGCAGTATGCCAACGGTAAGACTAGTTGACATAAAAAGTGAAATGCCCACGTGCATCAAAAAGTCAACACAGTCTACCAGACCGCATGCTTTGCTTAGGCCTAGGTCCAATATACCAAAAACCAAGGAGTCTAACAGTGTATCTCACGTATACGAGAATGCTGATCGATATAGTACTGACATTCGTCAGTTACAAAACTAGAACAACATATGTAAGCGAACAATTGTTTTCAATTAGATCGTCATCAGGCTTTACTCTAATATACATGAATATTTATATAAAAATGTTAGACCAATCAAGGCTATTTGAGTCAATAATAATCACAATGAAATAGAAATACGTTACCAAGCATAATAATAGTTAAAAGTACAAGTTGATAGTGGGAAGACAGGTGTACTGATAGTAGTAAGAATAGTAAATTACGATAACAAAAGTCTTATCAATAATTAAACATAAGAATTAAGAGGTCAAACGTGGGTAAATAGTCTGGAATAGTAATCACAAAACATTAAAATCATTACGTAATAAGAAGTATGTAAGTAAATAGATAACGAAGAACACAAACGGAAAGAGGTAGAAAATTACAAACAAACAAAAAATGATAACAAAATAAATAAAAAAATTAAAAAATTTTTTTTACAAATAATAATAATGTCAATTATTAAGTTATGTCCGGCCATGGAAGGGATAGGGGGGTTACGAATTTCTTCTGTACACATATTATTGACTCAAATAGCCTTGATTGGTCTAACATTTTTATATAAATATTCATGTATATTAGAGTAAAGCCTGATGACGATCTAATTGAAAACAATTGTTCGCTTACATATGTTGTTCTAAGTTACAAAACTCCCTAGCCGAAATTTACAGTAGACTTAACCAACTAGCACCCCTCACACACATATGGGGTATTAATACCGATAAAAATCTCGAACAACTCACTAAAGCTGAGTGTATTTTAGATTTTGTGGCTGAAGAAGTGACAAAAAGAATGATGTCTTCCCACAATGCAGTTGTTTACAATCTCCCTGATCGCATACACCCAAATAAGTTGAGGGACATCTGCCTTAAAGCATGCGATATGCTGAAGGTCAACTGCCAAGTCATCCGCCTTAGAAAAAAGTCGGATAGATTGACTTGCCCTCTACTATTTAAGTTTGGCTGTTGTAACGATGCTAAACAGTTTATTGATTTGAGCAAAAATATCAGCTCATTAGTTCCATACAAAAGCATTAAAGTCACTCCTGACCTAACACCGTGTCAACGTCGTATAAGAAGACGTGAAGCAATAGAATCGTATGACAGAGTGATAGTAAAAAACCAGCTAAAGACAGTATGCAACAAAATGATTGATATAAAGCGCATGGATAACAAGCATGATGTTATACCACAAACGACTGGTCCATCCGTAGATCTAGATGAGTCTGCAGATCTGAAATCTTTGAATAAGATAGGGTCCCCATCTGTCACTAAAAAGCATGACGGCATCTCTGATCCCGGGTGTTCGCTCAGTATAATACCAAAATGTGGGCCGTGTAACGAAACACACCCAACTAAACATATTCATGTAAAAATTGGTTCCCCAAGAGATACTCCACAAGAGGATTCGAAAGGACCTAAGTTCATCTCACAGAGACAAAGAAACCCTTCATCTCTGACAAAAAAGACTGGGGAGATAAAATCCAAAATACGAAATAGGGGGACACGTAAGATTGAGGCCAACTGTTCTGTGGGTATCCCAACAACAGTGAATAGGTTCTACCCGCTGATATCATGTAAGTTGCCATCAACACCTCGCACAATGGGTAGTACGCTTGAGCGTAACAAACCTTTTTACACACACACTCACAAAAACTATCAGAATACTGATCACTCCACTCACCTTCTTAAGCCTAAAACCGTTAATAAACACGGTAATTACAGGTTCCTCACCCCACACCCTATGTACATTCCCCAGAATCACAATTGTAATCACTCTCAGAACGAGAACTTTCCAGTATCAACCCACCACATGAAGACGGCCTCCATATATAACAACAGTCGTAACAACTTCCAGTTACGAGCATCAGACCCCCCTCATGCTCGCACTAGCGCAAATAGTTATAACAGAGGCTACGAGCTTAACCATCAAAACTGTCTTGCAAATAACAGTACACTTTACAGTCAACATGTACCAGATTTTTTTGGAATAAGGCCCCTAGTTGCACCCCTGTTGAAGCATATAGCCCTAGTCATTTCAAACCAAGTGCGGAACATAAACTCGCTTTCCCCGTACAGTTCGCATCAGAAAGTACTCTCACCCTTTCCTCCTGGATAAACTCCCCAAGCAACTTCACTAGCTCATTTGATACATGCCCCAGTAACTCTAGCTATCAAAATACAGAGCTATTGAAAAACACTCAATCCATTACTTCAAACATACATCACTCACGCGAGGCTCATGACATCTTTAATCGAGATACTCTCACTCACTTTAACTTAGTAGGCCACTTGTTTAATATATGTCTTATCAACGCTAGGTCGATCTGCAATAAAAGGACTGATTTAGCTCTGTTTGCTTCCATATATCAACCATCACTTATAATGATATCTGAAGCATGGACTAACAGTAATATTTCCGATCTAAGTATATCTCTTGATAACTACCTCCTATATAGAAGCGATAGATTGAAAGGACGAAGCGGAGGATGCCTTATTTATGCTCACTCTAGCTTAAACTCACTACTATGCGATATACCTGAACTAAACAAACTGAAGGACTCGGTGTGGATTGTTTTAAAGCCATCAAATCATCCCTTCCATTCACAGGCAAGCTCATTTGTGGTGACTTCAACATGCCTGAAATTTCTTGGTTTCCAGTCAAAGCTCCGAAACGTTATGAATCATTTATTGAATGTCTAGAACTAGGACAGTGGACTCAATATGTTAGTAGCCCTACCAGACATCAAAATATCTTGGACTTAGTCTTTACCAGTGGCATCACCCCCAATACTGTGTATATTGGAAAAAAGTTTCCAGGTAGTGATCATAACACTGTCGTGTGTAGCCTTAATATAAAAAACACAAACGGTAGACGTAAAAATGTAACCCTTCGTAGAAACTATCGCAAGGTAGATTGGAATAATTTTCACAATTACCTAAGAAGCACTGACTGGGGAACATTCTTTACTGCAAACAATACCGACACACTAACCAATATATTTTATCACAACATCGAAAGTATCATGAACAAAATCGCACCTTTAGAGTATTGGAGACCTAAGTTTTCTAAAGATCTGTATATACCGGCCGGTACACGAAGACGTCTGCAGAGACATTGTACTCGCTTCCACAACTCTAATGACTTCTCCTCTTTAGTAACGATGACAGAAATACTTGTCCAGACAGACACAATAAGTACACAAAAAGCAATCGAACAGGAAAAACGTGCTGTCGAACTTAGTAATAACTCCTCAGCACTCACCACACTCTTTCAAAATAAACTTAAACGTTCTAAGTCGAGAGGAAACATATTTATTAAAGACAAACAAGTATACGAAGATCCTAAACTTGTTACGGAACTCTTCAATGAACACTTTTGTTCCTCATTAACTGATGAAAAACCACTTAATGATTCAGAACTTATCACAGCATCTGCCTGTGAGATTACTAACGTAGACTTCAATGTACAGAATATCTCTAAGGCAATTAGTACACTGAAACACTCCTACACTGATGGACCAGATGGTATTCCGGCTAGCATGCTAAAACGTGGAGGCGATGATATGTGTGTTTTATTACTCAAACTATTTGCGATATCACTCTCTACAGCGCATTACCCTACTGCCTGGAAAACTACACACATCATTCCCAAAATTAAAACAGGACCTGAAGCAAATGTTGAAAATTACCGACCCATAAACATAACTTCAGTGGTGTCTAGAGTGATGGAGAAAGTAGTTAAAGCGGCGTTAGTCCAACATCTAATTACTAAGAATCTCATCTCGGTCTCCCAACATGGATTTCTTAGGTCCAGATCATGTGATACATGCCTAGTGGACTACATGAATAATATAACTTTGAAACGAGACAATGGACTCCTTGTATCAGTCATATTTTTAGACTTTAAGAAAGCTTTTGATAAGGTTCCACACGAACGGCTACTAGCCAAACTGCGGTCCTTCGGAATCAACAACCCACTCTATTCATGGTTTGTTTCATTCTTAAAGGGACGTAAACAAATGGTAAATTACAACGACTGTCTCTCATTACCTAGACCAATAACTAGTGGCGTCATCCAGGGAAGTGTATTAGGCCCACTTTTGTTTCTCATGTATATAAATGATATATGTAACATCATAAAATCTGGGAAACCATACTTATATGCTGATGATCTCAAAATAGTATACAGCTATAAGCCTGAGGTTCTAAGTGAAAGTGTACGCTTGATTCAAGATGATCTCAATAACCTAACTATCTGGAGCGAAAAGTGGCAATTACCATTTAACCTCCACAAATGCGGGATCATGCACTTTGGAAAGCACCCCTATGAACCCCAACTTTACTTAAATAAAAGTAAAGTCCAGACACTGAATTCAGTATACGATCTAGGAATAAATTACACAGGAAGCCTAAACTTTAAAGCACACGCCTCCTTTATTATTTCTAAAGCCAGACGTCTAATTGGCTTCATAACCAAAAATTTCTTCACGACAGATGCCAAGCTTACTCTCTACAAAATATGTGTACGACCTTCCTTAGAATACTGCTCTTTTATCTTCTCTAATATGAATACCACTGACAAAATAAGAGTAGAAGATGTTCAAAGACGCTTTACACGCCAACTGCTAGGAAGTGACACCACTCTTGATTACACAAGTAGATGTAAGCACCTCTCTTTAGAACCTTTATGGCACCGTAGGTTAAGGAACAATCTGATATTTCTCTACAAAGCAATAAATGGACTGTCATTCCTAACCTCTTGTCCAACTATGATCAGTGACCCAGCCTATAGACTAAGAAACAATGCATATACACTATTTACCGAAAAACACCAAAAACAAATGCGTTGTAGGTTTTTTACAGTTCGGTATAGTTTATTGTGGAACAGATTGCCAATACCTATCCGTAACTGTGACACCTTTACCAAATTTAAAAGGCTAATAACCCTGTTACTAAACTCTAAAGAACTTCACCAACTATTCCTTGAACTCCCGCCTACCAATGAGGCACTTTATTATGGACCGCCCAATATCTAGACGGAACAAGAATATAACGAACTCCATTGTCGTTAGTATGAATATAGCAAAACTAAAGAAAACATGCTTTATCCTTCCCCATTATTTATTGATTATTAACCATGGCCTTCCGCTCCTAACCCTCATTTTCAGTTTCCGAATCTCTCTAATGGATAAATCCAAATTATTCTTCCTAAGTGTCATGTCCTTTTATTTTTCTTATTACAAGTAGACAGATAACTCACTAATCTTATGGATGCTGACCAACTAAGGCTGATCAAAAGAAGCTCATACGTCCTAAATTCTTGTGAGTTGTTCAATGCTTTATTTATTTTTTTTCTTACCCTGAAAATTTTACAATATTTACTATCATATCCTCTGGTCTGCAATTAGCCCTTACCATCTCTTAACCACATATAATCTGACTTGTCTCTTCTAACCTGTACCATTAGTTATATTCATAGTAGTACGATATATTAAATGGATATCTAACCCATAATACAAATGCTATAACCATCTGATTTGCTTGTAACATGGAACTTGTAGAGACAGTGTATTCCAAATATGGTCCTTGATAAAAGCAATATTCATACCGACCACAAACGTAAGAGAGCCTAACATCATAAAAGGAGGGAGGGTGGCGTTACTGACCAGCAAACATGATGGTGGGGAGATAACTTCAATCCACCCGTGTCTGTGGGGCAGAACATATTAATTACGGCTCCTTATGTCTAGTGGGATGTCACGAACCAACGGTATTGATGCAAGATTATTCATGCAAAATACCACTTTGAATCGTGTTAAAAAAAAGCTGAATTGGTTCCACTTCCTACCAAGTAATCCTAATACAAGCAAACTAGACAATTGGCTAAAAACGAAGCCCACTCTATACCCTATAAAATCTGAAAACAAAAAAAGAGAGTTCAAACAGCTTCGAAAAAAAAGGGAGATAGCCATTTGTATCGGAATACTGTTTTCAGCACTTTATTTTATAATTACACATTTCCATACTTCCTTCTAAACTACCTTCATTTATACAGTTCCTTATCCATTCATACCTTGCCCACACTTATTTTTCTTTAACACATTAGTATGTTCTTACCCAATAAATACTTCACTAACAGACAAATAGACTAAATGGTTATACGTTAACTATTCCTCCATGAAAATTGTGTGCTCTGCTTTTCGTCCTTCCTTTTTCTTACACCTTTTTCAGCCTCCTGCAGATACTCCATCGAAAACAGAAATGGCACGGGTGACTTCGTCCTACACCGTTATTAATGCTTCCGATATTCTGGAGGGACATAAGTTCGAAACTTCCAAAAGCCCCCAACTTCGCATGTATCTATTCTCGACCATCAGTTGTATGTTGCAACGCTACCTCCATAAAGTGCGCCAAATGTGATATTGATATTGACATGTTTCTTATGAAATCCATTTACATTCATATCTTATGAAATATCAACCCAACTGAGTAATTTTCAACAGTGAAAATTGTAACTTCTTTAACAATTTGATCTTGCCTGTAAACCGGCATGCCTCATGTAACAATGTTATTTGAGCATAAATTATTATTATTATTATTAAGTCTGTCGTCGGGATTTGCTGGAAGAACGCTAACTTCTGCGCCAGTGTCGTCGAGGTAGAGAACTTTGGTAGTCACATCCGTGACATATAAGAGGCGGCTGTGTTCGCCGGCTACGGTTGCCGTTAACGCGTGCCGGCTGGGAAGTTTCCCGAAATCTTATTCGTGTCAGTCGATTTTGAAGTCGGATAATTGCAGGGTTTCCTGCAATTTCTAGAGGATTTACCGTACTGATTATGATACCAGCACCAGTCGGGGTTGTCTGTCTCTCGTGGTCGGGAGCCAGATCGCCTACGTGAGACACCTCTACGCGGGTTTTTTGACCGACTACGGTCATTACGAACTCTAAGATATCGTGTAAGCGTGTGACATAGTTCGGCTATGTCAGTCGGGGTCGATTGGGGTTTTTCCTTGACGGAAAAAACCTCGGCCTTAGAAGATTTAGTGATTTCTAAGATTCGGTCGGCAGACGCAGCCAGCTCATCTATGGCGTTGTTTTGAAATGAAACAAGCACTGCCTGCACCTGATGAGGAAGTTTAGACAAGAAAAGCTGTCTGAATAGGCCGTCATCGAAAGTTCGTTGGCCGAAGACTTCTCTCATTCTTAGCAACATGTCTGTAGCAGAACCCTGTTGCAAGTCGATGTTATGGAAGAGTTGGTCTAACCGTTGTCGGTCGGTTAGGTTTCCACGTTTGAGAATCGGACATTTGAGAGTTTCGTAAGGTTCGGGAACATCACTAGTAAACAGACTAGGTGTTACGTACCTGTTAAACTCGCGCGGTAACGCCTTAACCACCGCGAGGAATCGTGTCCCAAACAACCAATAAAGGGGAAATAAAGCGGATAATTCATTGGAAAATAAGTAGTAATGCGCCAAAATGTCTGCTTTTTCGCCTGTCCGGGGGAAATAAAGCGTAATTTTTCCTTTCTGTCGCTCTGGTTTTCAAATGTCGCTAAATTTCCGATTTTTCCCCTAAATATCCGACGAATAGCCGACTTTTCCCCTAAATATCCGACGAATTTCCTATTTTCACCCTAAATATCGGACGAATTTCCGACTTCTACCTTAAATATCCACTACATTGACTACTTTTATACTACATACACACTAATGCATTTACCGCAACCGCCTCCTGTGTTCACTTCCATTCCCACAACACAGCACACGAATAATGTAAAGTACGCAAAATATGGTATAGTTTCCAAATTTTTATTGAAAACGAAAAGTTCTTCAATGTACAAAGTAATGAGCAGATGGTAGAGTATCAATGCTCCTTATGTAATTGCCATTGTCACCGACCAGGCATTTCACGTATTCATTCTTTCCAGCAGGCCTGTTGGATTATGGAGAGTCAAACAATTCTTGTGAATTCTAAAATGTGATGAAGAAAAAGGTTACTAAATCTAGAAAACTTGTTTTGCACAACAAGGTACTTGAAGCTGAACTTACGGTTATATCCTTGAACACGGAAGATTGTACCTATAGATAATGCAAAAACTAATCACTATGAAGCCGTACATACGTGTTCTTGGTTCCGTCGATGACGCTTCTGGACTTTGTCTCTCATGTCGTGGAAATAACTTTGCGTAGCCATGTCATATAGTTTCGCAAGGTCTTTCTCGCTGACAGATGACGACAGGAAACGATTAGGCAGTGCACCTGAAGTTTAAAAACCTTATTAATCTTACTTCGTACGCAGCCGTAAAACCTGCACTTTTGAATCGCTTGTTTTGATGAAGTACCCAGTAACGTGAAATTAATGGCGACTTCCGGTTTCATGATGTAGGACAGAATATATCGCATAAAGGTTTTAGGGTCATCATCCATTAGACGTGTCAACATGGCCATCTGTAATAGGAATGAAGGATAAAAATCATGTTGTGTGCTTGCTAATCTGTCTCTCACGTCTTTTTGCTCTAGATAAGCGTCCAAAGAAGCGATAATTTGCATGTATGTAACTAACCGCATTTGTGAACAATACTGCACTTGAACATAGACCAATTTTCTTCCGGTAGGTCATTGTTTTGCAGATGAAGGTCAATGTTCTCCCTCGGATACAGACAGCGTTTTTCTCCAATCACCCAAAGTCCCGATGCAATCACGAGCTTACGTTTGCCTTGTTTCTTAAGGATTACGTACTTATTGATTGGAGACTTAAGATATCATACAGGAAATACAATTACATTACAGTGTGCAATAAAGGGACAATAACCAAATGAATAACACAATTAATAGACATAAGTTTACAGTCCACATCACGGATGGAAACCCAACTGCAAGCACTGCTAACTACGGAGCATTTAAATATTCCTATATCAGTGGAAGGAAATGGATCTGTAAAATAATTTTGTGGGTCAGTAAATTGCCTGAATTTCAATAGGCCACTATCCTGAATATCAGTAATCAATCCCGGCTTTCCCTTTACTACTACAACGTTATCAGGATGAAAAGAATTTATTTGGCTATTCCTAAACATTATTACTTCCTTGGGTGAGTCAGCCATACATATAACTGGGTTATCATTAGTCGAAATGTCAACCTGGAGCCTATCGCAGAAAGACATTTGTTCCGCATAACGCTGAGCTGCTTGCTGAGCCACGTAATACCCACTGTGTACTGATTGACTCGAATGAAAATACTGAGATGCTATCTAACGGCCCATGTGCTCGAACATCGTCAGGAAGATGCTGTAGGGAATGCACATTATATATCAAGTTCTCACATCCGTAACACCATTCATATTCTCTTAGAAAATTCATTAAATCCATCCTGACAGATTCTGTGACCCTAATATAAAACTTAGGATGTGCAAGCAAGTACATAGACAAAGCAAGACATTTAAAGGTTCAGGCAGAATATTTCGGAGAATAACCGGGCCTAAGTATAGAAGAAACAATCTACCCTGTCTGCATCCCGGATACTCAGATAGGTGGATGTCATTAAATGCATTAGTATCCTGTTAATCTTCTCTTTGCGACTCAAAGGCTTTTGACAGGGCAAATCGACGGTAGAACATTCTATAAGAAATTTATTAGCGTATGAACTTCAAACACGTACCATTATCATCCAGAAGCCTTTCATTGGTATAGCTTGTAGAAGGTAATACAGTTGAAGGAATCTCATGACAATTACTTTCTCTGTCAACTGACATAGTTTATACATATATAGTTGTTAAAGTCAGTTACCTGTAGTTGTGCTTTCATTAGCAAAGTTACTAAACGAAAGCAAGTCATGTCTCCTCAGAAAATCAGTACGTAATTTATTCCAACGTCTGTTATAAGTAGATCTATGACATCCGAGGACTCTTGACAAGTTCACGGTTGCCCTACGTCTACGAGCTCTTTCACTGACTTCGCTTAACATCATGTTATTAGACTAACAACATAAACAGTTAGAACGAACTAAAAAGACACCTTTAACACCGCCATACAAATGCCCCCGTCTGTCCCTCTTAACCATTACTTCGGATCCGAAAACCAACAAAATAGAACCGAAGTCCTATTTCATTATTCCATGCAAGAATTTTCAGGCACATAGGCCTGCTTTGAGCACTCAAATTTGTTCAAAGTAAAAATGCCGTCCGCTCCCGACACCCGTTTAAAGGCATCCGGAAGCATGCCGACAGGTCAACAAGACGAACTCGTCAACCCACCAGCACCCGTTTAACACAGACACAGCTGTAAGGCTGCACAGCCACTACACCGAGCTGAACACTGATCGTAACCAAAACCGTGAACAAGCAACGGCCTGCGACCGCACGACCCAGATTCAACTACGGGCATTTTAACTGCAGCAACTTTAATATACGCTTTTGGAGCTGGAATTACCGCGGCTGCTGGCACCAGACTTGGCCTCCAATTGGTCCTCGTTAAAGGATTTAAATTGTACTCATTCGAATTACGGAGCCTCAATTGAGTCCCGTATACGTATTTTTCGTCACTACCTCCCCGTGCCGGGAGTGGGTAATTTTCGCGCCTGCTGCCGTCCTTGGATGTGGTAGCCATTTCTCAGGCTCCCTCTCCGGAATCGTGTGCGCGAGTCCGTGATTCCGTGCATGCAAAAATCAGCTTCTGCGTAGCAGAACCAGGACTCGATATTGTCGGGCCAAAATGGCGCTAAGTGAATCGAAATAGAGGGAATAGACTTTAACTTAAAAGCCTTGGGTGAGTGTTCCGTCATAGTAATATAGATAACGAAAAATATCTAACTAAATTATATTCGGAAGAAAAAATTCGCGAAAAAAACAGTATATCACAATATATAAAATTCAAATAAACAATAACAATGAATAATAATATTCCAAAATGGAAGAGACTCACAGTATATTGGCTTGATGTACCAGATCACGTCGGTCTCACCACTGATGATACCACGGATATTCTAGTTTTACAACTAGCCACTAGTAGTATCTTCTATTATCGTTCGTTCCCAGTCAAATAGAAACCAGAAGTCAGATGAGAAGAGACAGCAAAGATATCACAATTGATTGATCACTGGGTGGTGATCAATGTCATGCATGTCAGGTCCTGCTTTGTGCTGATCGAATGCAATCGATCGAGTTGCAATCTGGCCACCAGTATAGGTGGCTCGACACTGCTTGCACTATATATACTGAGGTAAGATGGTGGTTGGAGGTGGTCAACAGGAAACCCTGGACCCGGGTTTCGTGCTACTTGGCACTCGTCAGAAAGGTGTATCTGTAACCCTGAGGGAACTGATGCTCCCTGGCGGATTCGATCCCGCGTCACTCAGCTTCACAGTCAGAGACGTTACCTCAGTATATATAGTGCAAGCAGTGTCGAGCCACCTAGACTGGTGGCCACATTGCAACTCGATCGATAGCATTCGATCAGCACTAAGAAGGACCTCACATGCATGAGATTGATCAACAACCATTGATCAATCAATTGTGATTACATCTCAGTCCTACAGGAGGTTGGTCGCGTTCCGAATAGCTCAGTGGTAACGTCTCTGACTATGAAGCTGAGTGACGCGGGATCGAATCCGCCAGGGAGCATCAGTTCCCTCAGGGTTACAGGTACACCTTTCTGACAAAACCGGGTCCAGGGTTTCCTGTTGACCACCTCCAACCATCATCTTACCTCAGTATAGACAGGAAAGATATATTTGATTCGTTACCAATATATCGAGAGACTTCGTTCTTAACTGGATATTGTAATGTAGGAGCTGCGTCCCACGCCGTGTTGCAATGTGATCTGGTGCGGATGCATGACCGAAAGCCTTCAGTTAAACAAGTCCACTTAAACAAAGTGGTCAGCGTCCAATGTCGAACACTTAATGAGCTATTGATTTTGGGGAATTATTTACAGCTACAACGTGAGTGAATAAATTTCATAAATAAAGGTAAATGTCTATATGTTCACATCATTTTTGATTGGTTAACCTCTGTTCTTGTTTAAATATTACGAGAATGACGTCGATCAAATTGATATTCGTATGAATGACATGTCAAACATGTCCTTTTGACTCAAATTATCACGGAGTTTTCTTGATCACATTTCTGTTCGTGAATCATTGCTGATTCAATTTGTTTAGTGAATCAATTTCGTGCTACTTGTGAAACGCAAATTTACGTGAATATCTTTTCTTGTTCAACTTGTCAATGGCTTGACTAATTACAGCAAATCAAACACAATTCATGCTGTTGATTAAATTCATCAGTTTATTTCAAAATGGTTTGTTTATTCAGTGCGAAAGTATCAATGATCTTGTATGTTTTCATCAAATGAATGCAGGTTTGATACGTGTATTCGGAAGCATGTACTTTGGTGATACCACAAATTCTATAGGAGAATATGTGAAAACTGAATCTGAGAATTTGAATCAGAGTGAGTTCTATTACTTTTCACACTTATTTTGTATAATATAATGTATATAATATATATATAATATAGTGTTTTACTTGATTACTACACGGAAATCAACGAATTCATAGTGATTGTTTCGCTTGTGTGATATTTGTAACAGAACGTGTATGTGTGTCGCAGCACATATGAAAAATAGTAAAGTGAAAACGTTCAAAAAATGATTGACCTAAAAATGTACACATTGATTGAACAGACTTGATAAACCAAGTGTTTCAATTGCCTGGCTGCAAATTATCAAAACTTCACTTTATGAAAACAAAAAAACAGAAGAAATCTCATTTACAAGATACTTCATGGTGACTTGGGCAATAGTGAGCGATAATGTGAGACGAATCGGCTTGGAAAATTGAACACCATTGATGATGCAACGGATGTTCTAGTTTTACAACTAGCCACCAGTAGTATCTTCTATGTTCGATCGTTCCCAGTCAGATAGAAATCAGAAGTCAGATGAGAAGAGACAGGAAAGATATATTTGATTCGTTACCAATATATCGAGGACCTTTCCTATAAGCTGGCTAATGAAACGTAGGAGCTGTGTCACACGCCGTGTTGCAACGTGATCTGGGGCGGATGCATGACCGAAAGCCTTCAGTTAAACAAGTCCACTTAAACAACGTGGTCAGCATCCAATGTCGAACACTTAATGAGCTATTGATTTTGGGGAATTATTTACAGCTACAGATCACTCCCCCCCTAGTGAGGTAGTGATTCCCCTAAGACGTGATCAGCCAGAAGTTTAAACCCAACGAGTTTTTCGTTGGTAAACACTCTTCTGATAGCTTGCTTCGTTCAGCATCATATGGTCGTCTTTCCTTAAACTATGGGACGAAAATGTACAACATAGCAATAAAGAAATATAGTACAATGAAAATTTCGGTTCTTTGTGAAACTTCGTCGTTCTTTTCCAGCCGTCCTGGAAAAGAGGAAAAATAAACCGTGTGAGTGCATGTCGGAAATACACTCGTACTTGCGTAGGGACACAAGATGAGCGTGAAAAATATGAATAAACTAATACACTTACAAACAGCGTAAAAGCTATCGGAAAAAGGTTTTCTTTTTGTTTTTTTTATATATAAACTTAAATATATATATACGCTCAAAAAAAGACAAAAATGTTTTTTTTATAGAATTAAAAAAAGGGCATATTAAAATTTCTTATAATAATCTTTGAAAGGGTAATTCAAGATGAAGCTTATATCCTACGTGCAATATTCGTTAAGATGTTCTGGAAATCTTATTCGTCTTCCAGAACGCGTTGTTTTAGGCTTATCTATTGTCGTTGGCGAAGAATCAAGTTTTGTTTCAGCTGTCGTGTAGGGTACTACAAGTGTAGTGGCAGTGTCGCTTGCTTGTACCGAAAGCAATTCGACGTAGCTAGGGTTTCCTTCTAAGTACGCTGCTTATAAGCGATCGATACTGATGCTATCATTCGTACCGTTATTATCTACTACATAATACTTAGGTTCGCGTTGAAGGACTTTGAAGGGTCCTTCGTAGACTGATTCGAGAGGTTGTCGATGTGAGTCTCAATGAACGAAGACGTGTGTACTATGTCGTAAGTCAGGTTGAACGAAAACATCAGTTGATTGAGGTCGAGTTTGAGCAGGTTTAACTGAACGCATAGCGTTTGAAAGCCTACTCGTGTAAGAGTTTAGATCCATGTTAAATGAAGAAGCTGAAGGATCCACGAATTCTCCTGGGAGTCGGAGTGTCGTTCCGTCAACGAGTTGAGATGCCGTGTATCCAATATCAGCTTTCACTGCATTGCGGATACCTAGCAAGACGAGTGGAAGAGCGTCTGTCTACTGTGAAACGTTTGAACCTGATAATTAGGCTTTTAGTTGTCAATGAAAACGCTCTACCAACACGTTTGCTTGTGGGTGGTAGGCGATCGTTCGGAAGCGTGTGATTCCTAATAGTGAGGTTAGACAACGGAAAAGTCCAGATTCCAACTGGCGTCCGCGGTCTGAATTATTTACAGGGAATTATTTACAGCTACACTATGAACTATCAAGTTATATTCAATGTCCTTTAAACCTTTTCTTTCTTACTTACTTGATTCATTAATGTTTTTTATCTTCGAGTTGGTGTCTGTTCGTAATAGACTATTCAGGACTATTTTTGCGATCATTTTTGTATGATTATGCACTTCAAATACATGCATTTTTTGAAACAGCTGATCAATAAACAACCATGAATGGTCTTTTGGTACTAGACGATTCATTTATACCAAAGCAATTGGAACATCGAGATGAAATATATTTATTTCGATCACATATCGGAATTGATGAACTACATAATCTCAGTACAAGATTTTGTTGTTGTATAGTCTAATAGATATGAAACGTCGATTACTCAGTCAGAAGCTTCTGAAACACATTTTCAAGAAGTGAAATATTCTTCTCAGTTGATTGTATTGAAACGTTCACCATAATGTTGAATTGATAATATTCTTTGAAAATTTCTCATGTGAGA